TTATTTCCAATAGTTATTGAAATGTGGTATTTAGAAAATTGCAATACAACACGTAATTTTGTCGACAAACTTTTAATTCTCATGACTTAAGATTCTCCCTTCTCGTTTGACTCATATTTCGAAATTCAAAGAAAAATATATAGTCATAGCATTAGTAGTTATCACAAAAAATGAAATGAACCCTTGGAACCATTACCGGATATAGCCTAATGAATCCTTGGAACCATTACCGGATATAGCCTAATGAATCCTTGGAACCATTACCGGATATAGCCTATGAATCCTTGGAACCATTACCGGATATAGCCTAATCGAACCATTACCGGATATAGCCTAATGAATCCGTGGAACCATTACCGGATATAGCCTAATGAATCCGTGGAACCATTACCGGATATAGCCTAATGAATCCTTGGAACCATTACCGGATATAGCCTATGAATCCTTGGAATCATTACCGGATATAGCCTAATGAATCCTTGGAACCATTACCGGATATAGCCTAATCGAATCTAACTATATTGTTCGTTTTCCCACACCCAATTTGTTTTCATGTCGCGCGTGTTTAATTTTCAAACCTCGCCCACCATCTCAATCTTTGTCCCATTGCTTTGAAATTGAAACAGGACTGCTTCCTTCATTTTCACTCTACTAGTAGTAGTGGCTTGAAACAATAAGTTTTATAAATTTTAAATGTTCTTTAGATTGTACAGGAATAAACAATGCCATTACTTTTGTCTCCGTGCAATTTTTCTGTGGAATTCTGAGTAGTAGTTTTTGTCAAAAGCTTGTCTTTTTATTTCTCGTGTACGTCTGCATGTACTGCTATTTAGTTGCGTTGTTGTTTGGCCGCAAAGTGCAGCGAAACCTCTTCCTCCTTCCTTGACGGTTTCTGTTTTATACAGATAAAATGCTAATGAAAAATTCACGAAAACAGGGCTATAACACTTTGTTAAAACCCTGTTTCTTCTTCCCTTATCAAGGCCATGTCCGAGAATGTTATATAATAAATCACTTTTCACTAGATCAAATTATCTAGTGCATATTTCACGTAAATACCCTATTAATACTTTAATCTAAGTAATGTGGTAAGGCCTGGTAACTTGTTGAGTATGATACTCTGGATACCGAGCTTATGAATAATTTTGAGAATTATTCGTATGAAGTATTTCAAAAAGTAGGGTGATGCTGTATTTAAGTCTGTTATTGTGTTACTATAATAGGGCTATTTCTCCTGTAGCTGTGTTTGTTCGACTAGTTAATTTGTGGTGATTGTGTACTGCTGCTACGTAGTTATATATATGATGTTGTGGCTTGGCTGGATGAAGTTGTTGGTTCATATATCGGTGTAGGTAGTAATGGTGTTTGATTATTTCCTTGTTCCACACCACCTTGTAAAATTCTAAATTGCCCGTACCAATGGGTGGAATTTAGACTAGTTTCCTGTGTAAACACGCGAGTTTTGTTTGTTGATAGCCATTACTTCTCGGTCCAAACTAATAAGTTTGTTTTCCCTACACATAAGACTACATATTCGTTCGCACTGTAACTCGCACTAGATATATAACCATAGTAATTGTTTATTTTTCAGTATTATTCACAATGTGTGTTTACTATCCACATGTACCTACTAATATAAAAGTGTAACTGGTTTTGGCGGACTGGAAGGATTTAGGTAGAATTATCCAAGTTTTGACTTTTCTCACCATTGAAGCGTAGTATTAAGTTGTTGTGTGTTAAATACCTGTATAATAAAGATATATATATGTACAGTTGGCTATATAAGTAGTTAAAAACATGTATTTGTCACATCGTGATTTTCAATGAGAAATGGCGAGCTGAAAGATGCCGATCATCACTGTATACCACCCACATGACAAAGTCCGTGGAATATTACAGTATTTCATTGATAGTGCCGTTTTCTGTTGGGTTTCTCCTTCGTTGTGGGGACATTGAGAGTAACCCTAGTCCAGGTCTTTATACAGTTGATCCTGATTTTGAAAGCAATATGCATAAAAACAGTGAGCGAACATGTAGCAGCGTAAATGTATCTGCCAATTTTACAACAGATATTAGCTTTAACATGTTCAGCTAGCAGAGAGAAATATACTGGTTTTAATTCTGGAAGTACAATATGTGAATTTCCAGGCTGTAATACGTCAACTGGACATCCAGTTGTTACTGCACAGGATGATCCAGTTGCCACAGCTTAGTATAGAATACCTATCTTTGCCAGATTGTTGCAACCAAACAAACACCAACACATGAGCATACTTTAACCTGATCAAACATCTTCCAAGTGGGCTAATCGTAGTAAAATGGTGACCAGTAGTAGGAGGCAAAAGTATAAATCAAACCCAGAGACAAAAAGGCTTAGATCACTTCAGTACCATTTCTCTCAGCCTCATTTAAAAAGTATTAGATATAAATAATATATAAGTTCAATATTAAATCTTGTACGAGCGAGCAGAGTTGGTAACAAGTCATTTTGTCCAATTCACAAATCAAGTCATAATAATAAAATGTTTGGGGACTTGCCAAATGTTCTATAAGCAAGAAAGTGCACTGTGCTTTCTTGTTAGTTGGTTATGGAAGCCAAAATAATGTACCTCAGTTTGTTTCTACACAGGCTTAGCAATAGTTTGTTTGGACGGAATCTTTTCTAATATACGTAAATTGAAATGAGCTGGATATCATTTGAATCTGATGTCGTGCCAAGACAAACTGATAGTACACTACTAGTGCTTCATACGCAACACTCCATGGTGATGGAAATCCAATTGAGTCACACAGGTTGGTAAAGAACGTATGAACTGTCTTGTATTTTGGACCAGCTTCATTATAAGGTCTCCAAGCAGTGTTCCTGTGCTTAATATCTGCATCAAAGGGTATCACGTCACTGATTAGAAGAAGGCAATCAGAATATATAATTTATCTGTACAAACTGTTACACTTTAGAAATACCAGCCGAGACAACATTTTGTCACTAAGCTTAGCTCTATGATGGCTCATACTGATGCCTCCATGGCTGAACACTCGTTCCATGGGAGAACTAGAAGCGGGAACAGCTAGCACTCTCGTGACCACAGGAAACAGCCTGGAGAGGTGTTGTTTCTGTTCACCAACCAGAAGTGAAGAGGATGCACAAACCTCAGACATCTGTATCTTCCTAACTCAGCAGATACTTCGAGATGTGCTAATGAATGAAGTCCTAATGCACCTCTTCACTTCTGGTTGGTAAACAGAAACAACACCTCTCATCTGGTAGAGTTAGAATGATGTTTGATGCAAATTGAAATGGATGCACAAACCTCAGACATCTGTATCTTCCTAACTCAGCAGATACTTCGAGATGTGCTAATGAATGAAGTCCATTTCAATGTGCATCAAACATCATTCTAACTCTACCAGATACACATTAGAGGTGATGAAAATTGCCTTTTTCAAGCTATGTATTATATATTAACTGGCTCCAAAGAGCAGCATTTTGAAGTTAGAAGTGGTTTTCTGTTAATACTAACATACATATATAACCATACAAAAAACAGCCATACTACAAGTAACTCATTCTTGTTAATAAAAGTGAAAAACATGATAAAATAATTATAAATCAACTATAGAGTTTACTTTTTTAAGCAAGCAATTTTAAACTATGTATTCAATAATAATGATATCCATTCGTTTGGTCGCTGTTTGCATAACAACAACTTTTTTTTTTTTAGCCAGACCTTTTTTTTTTACAGTAAAGCTGTTTTTGGTTTATATTATATAATACATGTTGGAAGAGTAAATGAAACAAGGTTTACTGTACTAGGCATTGTTTAAACGGCTGCATTTCGCAATAGTCACCTTTATTTTCCCTTCTCAATGTAGTTAAAGCAAGTATTAATTAAACAAAAGTTCCGTTCGTGTTAGTCGATCAAAGATTTAACACATTGATATGTCCGTATCTAATAACTTTTTTAAACACAGTATAATGTGTAAGTTACTCAGCAACCAACATTCTGTTTGAACAAAATAGAATAATGAATCTATTAAATTACCTTAACTTTTTATTAAAGCAGTCTTATGCTAAGTAACGTCGGTGATGTTTGTAGCCTGAATTAGTAAGCAACATATTGAGTTAAACTACACCATAATTAAGACATACTAAGCAAACCCAAACAACGGGCATCACTATAGCTAGTTATGTCACCAACAGCCACTAGGCCACATCCTCACATTTTTGAGAGGTGTACAAGCAGAACACATGCATACAGCTGCACCAATGTAAATAGTAATAGCTGTCATGTCGTGTACGAGTTCTAACTGGTATGTACCTGAAGTTGAACAGTGTTTGAGATATTGCAAAGCTACAGCCAATTCCTTATTTGTCAGTAAAAAAAAAAAGAAAAGAAAAGAGTAGCCCAAGAGTTAGAGGTGGGTGCTGCCACCTAGTTGCTTTCCCTTGAACTAATCACGACAAATAATGAGAAATCATAGACAATATTTGGATTACTTAAATAGTTGAAATAATTAAAAACACTAATAATTGGAAACACTAACTTCGATTATTTTCAAGTCTTGATACTAATTGATTAAACAGAATAATCTTGAATTAATTGAAAATAATAAAATGAAATATCATAATGGCATTATGTTTCTTAGATAGGCCTCTCATTCTTAATTAATGATCATAGGCTCTAGCAACATCATTAATTTTTTTATACAGATCTTTGTTTTTTAAGTGTAAAAAACTGATTTTATAGCAAGATTGCACACACGTCAAGATTAACAGGGGAAAAAAACGTTAGGATTTACATGTTTAACTTGATATACAATGCAAATGAGATGCAAATTAGTCATATTTCATGTGCTATTTGAATATGCAGTAGGTATACAAGTTATCATTTGTTACCATGGTCACTGTCACATGACTTCAAAATCAGAATTCTTTTGTCTAATATTGAAAAAATCCTCATGTACCAAAAGCAACACAAAAAGATAAATTGATTTTCAAATTCTACTTCCAATAAATTTTTATTCTTACATAAATTAAGTTTAAAATTAAAGATGCAATTATTACTTTGGGTCTGATGATCTAAGTGGTTCCCAAATATGGCATGAAAAGGTTCACAAGAAATATACATAAATATTGCTACACACAACTTTACTGATAAGTAATAGTTATCTCAGATAAACTTTACATTACTGTCTACTTGAATATTTGTTTGAATCTGTGGCACACTACAATTTTTAGTATTTAATGATAGAGGCCTGTATATGTATGCATGCAGAAGAATGTTGTCTAAAGTTTGGGAACCACTAATCTAAAAAATCCCAACTAAAGCAAACAGAGGTTTACATATTTTAGATTATCTGTTACACGCACACATGTGCATACATCCTTTCAAACAGCTTTGGTGAGGATTATCTTACTTTTATTTCTAACAGATTCCAATACAGGAGATGCCCACTCCAATGTAAGGTATAACAGTAAATATGATAGTAGTCTCAAATAATTCTTGAATTTCATCCCAAATTTTATAAAATTATAAAATATTATTATTCTGGGTATGGTATGACACAGCAGGTAAAAATCATTGCAAAAAATTAATAATTAGCTTTTAAAATATGGGAAGCCAAAACGTGAAATAAGATTATATATACATATACACACACGTAGTAATGTTGTTTTTTTTATAGTCCCTCAGAAATGTGTTTCAAAATACTGTTCATTACTTGAAGATGATTGATCATCATCATCACTACGACCTTCACTATAACTATACTCATTATTTGAAATATCCGATTCTAAACTCGATGAACTATCAGCATCACTGCAGCTACAGGACACATCACCAAAATTTCCATCTGAAAGCACCAAGAAAAATTTCAAACGAAATAACTCAAGTTCTAATAAATTTATGAAAGGTTGAGGCAAATTTAAATTTTCCAATAATTTTTCTAAGTCTAGCATATTCAATTGTAAGAGTCTAGAAATGAAATTACAACTGTCCTCATAACAATCCCTCTTACAGTTTTGATAAGGAAATCTTCCTTCGGTGTTAAAGAGAGCCTCAATAACCATTTCAGCTTCTTTTCCAAATTTTCTTTTATTGGTATCTACATTAATTCTTTGCAAAGTTTCATGCTGATCGTTACAACATGAGTCTGATTTGGACAACAGCTGGACTCTTTCACTTCCTGATTCTTTATGTATCAAAATTCCTTCAGAAAATGCTACATTTACAGGATATAGAGACTCCTCTTTACAAGTTTTATTAACTTTTATTTCATTATTCCTCAAACCTTCTTCAACTTGATCGTTAGAAAATAATCCTGTACAAGTTCCTGCATCTTCTGGTAAAAAGTAATCTAGATAGAATTCTTTTCTTACCTCCTCATTTTGGCAACTTAGTATTTCTTTCACAGAGAGACTAGATGAATCATCTACACGCTTTTTACTACTTGAAGCATGGTTATAGAGTGTTGGAATACTTTTCTGCTTTATCCTGCTACCAGGCTCATGTTCTATTTCACCAGTTGACAGACTATTTTCATGCAAATGTAGATTGCCTGAAGGTATAGAAATCTTACCAGCACTTTCTGTTTCACTGGTTGGCAAGCTATTTTCATGGCATTGTAGGATATCTGAAAGTATGTCAATGTTACCACTATATTCTGATTTACCAACTGCCAAACTACTTTTGTAGCATGGGAGGATCTCTGAAGCTATAGCAGAGTTGGCAACATCTGGAACTACTGGACAACAGACAGAATCTGAAACTGAGACAGGGCTATTAACAGCACCTGAACATGAAGAGTCATTTGAAACATCTAAAACTACAGAGCAATTAACAGTGCTTGAAATTGGAATGCTATTATTGGAAACTGGAAACACTTGAGTTTTCCTAGCACCAGGAAAAGCACAACCATTTAAGAGATGGGTTAAACAGATGTAAAAAATTTTTCTTATACAAGTTTGTTGAAGTGTTAAACTCAGCTGACCAAACAAACTGGTCATTACCACTCCTCTACCTTTCAGCTTCTCCAACAGTGAATGGTGCACACACAAAGTTCTGCTATTCTGGACAAAACTACTTACACTCTCTTCAATCTCTGCTCTTCTTGACTGGAAAAACCCTGATGATAAATAACACTACATTATATACACATATTACACATTAAAGCAATTTTACAAAAAATACACAAACGAGAAAAGCTTTTCAATCTTTAATCTAAAAATATATTTAAATAGTACTGATACTGTGCGATAAAGTTTGTTTCCTGAAGTTCAAGCACAGCCAATTTGGAAGTGACAGAAGGCAGCTAGAAAACACCACCAACTCATGGGCTAATATTGGAATTTGATTGTCACCCTTACAATGCACTCATGGGCCCCAAAGTGTAGAGTGCAAAGAATGAAATCACAGATCTACAGTTTGGTACACTAACTGCTTGTCTGTGTTTGTGTAAATTGAATGTGTGATAATGAACCTATAACAATCAAATCATACATATTTTTCGATATAGTTACACTTTAAAATATTCTTTGTACATCCTATCAAACACGGTGATAATGAGTCAAACACAATTTAACTATACTACCACCAGATCCATTTCTGTGTAAGTACAAAAAAACGAGGTTTGGCAGCCACATCCTATAAAGCCTGGAGTGTTAGTATAGTAGTTCTAGACCAGCCATCAGCAGTTCTGTTTGTAGCTTTATACTCTACTTTTGTGGATATCAAAATTGATTTAGGTGCAGTTTAATCTACTGCCATTCCTATTGATCAAAGGGAAAGAAGCCTGTCAGCAACAACCTATTGTCCACGTTAATAATAGACTGACTACAACTCTTATAGTGCAGGAAACAAAAACGGATTCAAAGGTCTGTATAAACACAACAGGCTTTTGATCATAATACCCCCACCCCCCAAAAAAGCAAGACAGACTGAATATGTAACAATTTAAACTAAGTTTATTTCATATACAACAGCTAAAATATGACTTTTAGTTAAGTACCAGGTTTTTTTACTAGTTGGAAAAGAAAATATTTTTTTTTAGTAACATCTACATCAATAATACGCTTGCATCTGTCTGTCCAGAACTTTTCTCACAATTTTTTTCAATCAAATGCTACAAATCTCACATTGTTAGAAAAGCCTTTGTCCAGGGAGTCCAGACTGCATATTGACTTTTCAATTCAGAACCACCTTACCTGTTTGTTTTTTGCTTAGTCAAACTTTTCAATGCAACGAGTATGGTACATGGTGGCACAATGCTGTTGTCGTCATGTGATGACTGGCTTCAATCTCAACTTTAGTTTTTTTTTTATTTGCAACGTATTTCACATAAACGAAACTTAGCCTACATGTAATTTCCTAAAAAAAATTAAAATTACACTAAATACAATTTCTATGGGCTTTCTTGACTTGTTTAGGGCTAAAATGTGCATGCATAGTTAATTCAAAACCATGTGCTCATGACTTTGTGAACACGCATTCAGACATTTTTACATATTCGGTTGTCTTCATTACAACTTTACATTTACTTGACTCTGCAATAATTTAGCTTCAATCATTTCATAGACTGCTATAAACACCTTATAGCTACTTTCCCTTTACCACAGGTTTTATTCTTCATTTTTGTGAGTTTCTTTATTTCAACTTGTAAAACTGTGTCATATACTGAAAGCTCATAACTGTTTTATACTCTGTACACTATTATAAATAGCATTACTATACTTTATGTGTAGTTGTATTGAATAAAGTTACGTCTACATGAGTTTATTTGTCCGAGCACATAAAAAGTTTCTGAACAGACCAGGATTTACCAATCTAACACATAATATCTACAAGAAAGCATAGCTTAGATAGCATGTATGAAAATGATAGAATAAGGAAAATTCAAGCAAAGGGCATGAAAACTATTGCAAATGTTTCGCGGGTCATGGCTAGCGAATACGTTTGTTTTGAATTTTGTGCAAAGCTACACGAGGGCTATCTGCGCTAGCCGTCCCTAATTTAGCAGTGCAAGACTAGAGGGAAGGCAGCTAGTCATCACCACCCACTGCCGCCAACTCGTGGGCTACTCTTTTACCAACGAATAGTGGGATTGACCGTCACATTATAATGCCCCCATGGCTGAAAGGGCGAGCATGTTTGGCATTACGGGGATTCGAACCCGTGACCCGCAGATTGCGAGTTGAACGCCCTAACCACCTGGCCATGCCAGGCTAGTGAATGAGTATATTCAATTTTTTGAGGTAAACTCACAAATAGTTAACTAATCCTTTTCCTTAGCATTGAGTTGCATCTTGTTTCACACTAAGCAGTCAACTTGTAAGCAAACTGTGCATTCTAGAAAGTTTCCCATGTAATTCTTACCAAGTAAGTATACATCTCAGATATCCTAATTTAAAATAAATATTTATAAAAGATAATAAAAAATAAACTGATACATATAAGTGGAAACAATTTCTAGTTTATTTTATGTGACATTTTGAGCAGATGCCTTCACCAGGCAGTAGAGACTATCTTACAAGGGAATTAGGCTCAGAAAATCCATTGTAACATAATCTTTACTGCCTGAAGAAGGGCATTTGCTTTAAACGTCACATGACTACAAAAGGTTTTCATTTAGACGTGTCAATTAATTGTTTATTACCATTGATCCAAGTTTTTCTTCTCATGTCTTGAGGAACAACACTCATTCAATAATTTATAAAAGCAACATGAAGCTTTAAAAAACAAAGATTATAAACAGAAGTTTGTTCTTTTAGTGTTGTCATAACTCCGTAAATAACATTTTTACAAAAAATCATACAGTTGGGCTCACCTTTATCTATTAGCAGTGCTGTTTCTTTCAGCCTGTGTTTCAACACACTAAAATATGGATCAATTTGACTACTAACACCACCATCTTCTTCACATTTTTGTAACTTCTGTGATCTTATCACTGCTGCCAATAAGCTTGGAATGCTAGAAAAGACATTTGTTCTGTTCTTGTGATTCAGAATTCTAATATAAGCCAAAAATATCTCAGTATTTTTAAGATATATTAACACGTGAAAACAATAAACAATATAACAGAGAGAAAACAAAAAAGCAACCTCTAATTTACCACACATCACTGTTTAATAAAAAATTGTTAAACAATTGCTTACTAAGCAGGTATTACACTTTTACTTCACAGTGAAAAAAAATTCTACAAAAAAAAACATTTGTTACTGAGTAGCTCCTAATATCGAGTTATTAATTTTAGACCAAGAATGCCATTAAATAAAGGGTTTCCAGTAGTTGTAGTAATGACAGTGGTATTTGTGACACAAAATTCAGAACTCATGGTTCAAATGAAGTAATTCCACAAAAAGTTTACTTTCAATCTAAACTAAGTTAAATTACTACTTTGTGAAAAAAAGCAAAAATATTGTAATGCCTGAACAGCAAAATATTGTAACGCCAGAACACGACTGTGTCTAGACAAGAATTGAAGGTTAAGCTGAATAGTATAGAGGGAGTAACTTGCATCAGGAGTGTGCGTGTCGAGCTCGTTTTGGCAGAGGGATTGCCACGTTCTTAGTCGCATGCGAAGATGCAGTAAAACCATAATGAATGTGGGGTAGGTGGGAGTTTCAAGGCTAGTGGAAAGTGAAAAAATTTCCACATATAGAGGGCAACACTGAACGAGAGAAGCTATTATGTGAGAAGAAGTAATAATACAGTATATTTCATGAAATTAACAGATTGCAATCATATATACAAAGAAAACAAAAGACTATATCATCCAACATCAATGAACAATGCGTATGGTTATGCTTGAAGTATTGACCATTAAAACGTATTAAATGTTATGCTAGTTTCATTCCAATTATAAGAAACATTATTTTGGAATCTGGAAGTAAATTTTGACATTAACATTTAAACATGAATATGTTCAACTGATCCTAAGCTTGGATCACCATTTCCTTTCTCATAAGCATATTTTTTTTTACAATCTGTAAAAGAAACAAGTGATACAGTACAAGCGTATTTAAATTTCAATGCATTATTCACATAAAATTTATTTAGGGAATGAAGATAAACTCGTTACAAACTCTGTTGATTTCACAGTTCAAATCTAACATCCTGGAGTTCCCCCATTATTATATCACCAGTGTGTCTATGGACCTTGGTTCATAGAAAAAATGAAAAAAGGAAGATGTTATTTCAATATTAGAACCATAATTACATAATGTAGTGGTAAGAATGGCTGTAAGGGTCAGGAGGCCATGAAACAAACTTATATATAAAGCTACGTACCATGGCATTGTTTGAAAAAATAACCATTTTCATACTTCATTTTTCAAAGTTATATGTGACTAAACTCTTCCATAAAAGTGCTTTGTTTACTTTAGCTTGTAGCAATGTAAGACTATGACAAAGCTGTAGACAGATACCTGTTTACAAATTTTGGAATTGTTCAATTTTTACAGTAAATAAATATATATATATATATCTAGTAATTTTGTGAGCAGAAACACTCTTTCATGTACACTGTGCTTATAGCATTCATATTTAATATGGTGGGTTAAAAATGGGTCCAATTTATTATGAAAGGGACTATACTCATTATTAAACATGTACATGTATGCTTATGATGAAAAGTAATACAGACCATAAGTCAGAGGTTATGGATTGCTTCAAAAGCTTTTGGATATTAGATGCTCTGAAGTGACTTATGTTGATTTTGAACAGAACTTTGGACTAAAAATTAAGAGGGGGGGGGGGGGTAGGGTTAGGAACCTCCAAAAATGAAAATCTTTAGCCAAACTGCATCACTCAAACATTATACTGTATAGCTTTTTCTTCTAATTACAGTGATTTACCCACTTTCACAATTTCCTGATCATGTTG